AACTCCACTTTCCTGCCTTTTCCTTACTGATTAAAACAATCTGTCTATCTCAGCCTCGAACATTTTCAACAATTCAGCCTCTACAATACAGGATTCAACAGATTCACTACTTTTGTGAGAGAAAAAATATATTCATCTGTCTTAAATGGGAACCCTTATTCTGAGTTAATGCCACCTGGGGTGTTAAGATTCTCCCACAAGAGAAGCAATCTCTTAGCATCTACCCAGTCAAGTCTCTCAGACCTGTGTGTATGTTTCAATAAGGTCACCTCTCATTCTTCCAAATTCCAATGAGTAGGAGGCCCAATCAACTCAACATCTCCTCATAAGAAAATCATTCCATACCCAGGATCAACCGAGTGAACCTTCTCTGGACTGCCTCCAATGCCAGTATACCTTTCCTTAGATAAGGGTACAAAACTGTTCATGGAATTCCAGCTATCATTTGACTAATACCTTGTATAGTTTTAGCTAAACCTCCCCATTTTTATACTCAATTCTTTTTGAAATAAAGGCCAACAGTCTATTTGCCTTCCCTATCATGTGCACTTATATAATAACATTTTGTGATTCATGCACAAGGACTCCTAAATCCCTTTGTTCTGTAGCTTTCTTCAGTCTTTCTCCATTTAAATAAAATTCAGTTCTTCTATGCTTCTTGCCAAAGTGCATATTCATATTTCCCCATAGTATTTCCCACCTATTTCTAATATCATCCACAAACCTAGTTATGGTTCATTTGCTTTCCTGATCCAAGTCATTAATGTACACTGCAAATATGTCCTTTCTCATCTCACTGTCAGTCTTCTCTTAGTTATTCAATCCGTTATCCGTATCAATATACGATCCCCCAACACCACGAGCTCTTATCTTATTAAATAGCTTCATGTTAGGTCGCTTATCAAACACCTTTTGGAAATCTAAATATATTACATCTAATGGTTCCCCTTTATTTATCCTGGTTGTTAGTTCCTTGAAGCAGTCTAATACATTTTTCAGGCATGATTTGCCCTTCACAAAGCCAGGTTACCTCCGCTTGATTTTCTTATGTATCTCTAAGTACTTTGCATTAACACCCTTTATAATAGACTCTAACACCTTCCCAATGACAGATGTTACGCTAACTCGTCTATGGTTACTTCTTCGTTTCCTTTTTGAACACAGGTGTTACATTTTGCACTTTCTAGGCTCTTCCAAAATCTGAGGATTCTTGGAAGATTATAACCAGTACATTCCCTATCTGTAGCTCCTTCCTTTAAAATTATAAGATGCTACCCATCAGGTCCAGGGCACACACTGGCCTTCAGCCCCGATGTGTTTCCCTATTATCTATCCTCTAGTGTTAGTTAATGTACAATCTCCCCCATTTTCTTTTCTATTATTTCATATTTTTGGAATGCTATTAGTGTTTTGAACCATAAAGACCAATGTAAAGTATTTATTCAACTCCACTGCCATTTTCTAGTTCCCATTTATTACTTCCCTGCCTCATCTTTTAAGGGAGCTTATGTTTACTTTGACCTCTTTCTTCCTTTTTATATATGTAAAGGAGCTCTTACCGTCCATTTTGATATAACTTGGTAGCTCAACCATAAAGTTTATTATCTCACACTATTATTTTTGGGTCACCTTTTGTTGGTTTTCAAAACTTTCCCAATCTTCTGCCTTTCCATAATCTTTGCCATTCCTGAAGTCTTTTTCTTTCAACAAACTTCCAAATCATTTCAAAGAACCATATTGTCATTTAAAGGTTCCTGTTGTGAGCATTCCCCTTATAACTGGTGTATAGCCTGGCACTGATGGAGACATAGTGGACTTGTAATCCTGAGAATCCAGGCTAAGGCTCTGGGGGTATGGTATGAAATCCCACCACAGCAGCTAGGGAGGTGACGGCCTAGTGGTATTATCGCTGGTTATGTTAATCCAGAGACCCAGATAACTTTCTGGAGAACTGGGTTCAAATCCCACCGTGGCAGATGGTGGAATCTGAATTCAACAAATATCTGGAATTAAGAATCTAGTGATGACCGTGAATCCATTGTTGATTGTCAGGAAAAACCCATCTGGTTCACTAATGTCCTTTAGGGAGGGAAACTGCCATTGTTACCTGGTTAGGCCTATGTGTGACTCCAGACCCACAGCAATGTGGTTGATTTTTAACTGCCCTCTGGGCAATTAGGGATGGGCAATAAATGCTTGCCTAGCCAGCGACGCCCTCATCCTGTGAATGAATAATAAAAAGCTGGTGGGATGTAAATTCAATGAATAAACTCTGGAACTGAAGGTAGTCTCACTAATGATGATCATGAAACCATAAGTAATCGTTGGAAAACCCATTTGGTTCACTAACTATCATCCTTACCCAGTCTGGTTCCAGACGCACAGTAATATGGTTTACTCTTAACTGCCCTCTGAAATTGCCTAGCAATTAGGGATGGACAAGCGTCGATCTTGCTAGTGACGCTCAAATCACAAAGAATAAATAAATGGTGGTCCCACAACATCCCATTCAACTTAAGTTGACAAATCTCACCTCTGACCCACAATTCCATGCGCAATTTAGGTTGTTACAAGTCAAATCATTTTCAAAACACACTGGCTTACAATTCAAAATGAAGTACATCAAATAACTGAGACAACAAGGTGCAGGGCTGGATGAACACAGCAGGCCAAGCAGCATCATAGGAGCAGAGAGGCTGACGTTTCGGGCCTAGACCCTTCATCAGAAAAGGGGGAGGGGAAGGGGGTTCTGAAATAAATAGGGAGAGAGTGGGAGGCGGATAGAAGATGGATAGAGGAGAGGAAACAAACAGGTCGAAGAGGCGGGGATGGAGCCAGTAAAGGTGAGTGTAGGTGGGGAGTTAGGAAGGGGATAGGTAAGTCCAGGGAGGACGGACAGGTCAAGGGGGCGGGATGAGGTTGGTCGGTAGGAGATGGAGGTGCAGCTTGAGGTGGGAGGAGGGAATAGGTGGGAGGAAGAACAGGTTAGGGAGGCAGGGACAAGCTGGACTGGTTTTGGGATGCGGTAGGGGGAGGGGAGATTTTGAAACTTGTGAAATCCACATTGATACCATTGGGCTGCAGGGTTCCCAAGCGGAATATGAGTTGCTGTTCCTGCAACCTTCGGGTGGCATTGTTGTGGCACTGCAGGAGGCCCAGGATGGACATGTCGTCTGACGAATGGGAGGGGGAGTTGAAATGGTTCGCGACTGGGAGGTGCAGTTGTTTATTGCGAACCGAGCGTAGGTGTTCTGCAAAGCGGTCCCCGAGCCTCCGCTTGGTTTCCCCGATGTAGAGGAGGCCACACCGGGTACAGCGGATGCAGTATACCACATTGGCAGATGTGCAGGTGAATATCTGCTTGATGTGGAAAGTCTTCTTGGGGCCTGGGATGGGGGTGAGGGAGGAGGTATGGGGGCAGGTGTAGCACTTCCTGCGGTTGCAGGGAAAAGTGCCGGGTGTGATGGAGCTGGAGGGGAGTGTGGAGTGGACAAGGGAGTCACGGAGAGAGTGGTCCCTCCGGAAAGCAGATAAGGGTGGGGAGGGAAAGATGTCTTTGGTGGTGGGGTCGGATTGCAGATGGCGGAAGTGTCGGAGGATGATGCGTTGGATCCGGAGGTTGGTGGGGTTGTACGTGAGGACAAGGGGGATTCTTTTTTGGTTCTTATTGCGTGGACGGGGTGTGAGGGATGAGGTGCGGGAGATGTGGGAGACACGGTTGAGGGCGTTCTCGACCACCGAGGGGGGGAATTTACGGTCCTTGAAAAACGAGGACAACTGAGATGTACGGGAGTGGAATGCCTCATCCTGGGAGCAGATGCGGCGGAGGCGAAGGAATTGGGAATAGGGTCTACATCAAATAACTTGCACTTCTACATTATCAAACAAGTAACAGAAGATTCCTGATTCTAATACAATTTTACATTACAAGGCACTCACACACAAAACTGAGATACTAGTATGCCTGCAACAACATCAGTGACCTTACACAGCCATACTCCCAGGGCTTAAAAAAATAATTACATTCAATTTTAGGGGATGCAAAATGCCACAGTTGACTCAATGAACAATTTGTAGCAAAAAAAAAGGCTGAGGCCTAGAAAGAAGGCTCGATGGAATCTGCCCCAGACCCATTTTGGGAGGCTTAATCATGTTAACAACTCTCATTGTGGACAACCTAAATTTCAATGGGTGCACAGTGATGTCTCACTTTGACAGGGCCGACAAGGTCACATCCAACACAGCTACTGCACACTGTCCAGACCCTTAATCTAACTTTGACCATAGCCAATCCAGCCCATGTCCACAGCTCCCACATCATATACAGCACTTCACATACCTTAACCCAAGTCCAAGAAAATACATAAAATATCGTGATCAGTTCAGAAAAACTGCAAACGTTTACACATTAAAAACAAACATTGCAAACAAAACACAACAATGGTGTGATCTTTAATGCATTAAATTTAAGGGGGGGGGGGGTGGGGGGTGGGAATTCCCAATTAGGTACAAGCATTCTGATATAAAATGATGTGAATTCGAATATAATAAACACTGCCCCGTTTGTATGATTATTACTGATTTCTTCCAGAGAGGGGAGAGGTGGTGTCCTGTTGGAAGGAATGGAAGTTGGTGTAGTTGAATGGGTTTCTGGTGTGTGTTTATTCTGTCTGTCTGTCTTTACTGTGGTGTGATGTGGTGAAAGTCCTGGGGCTCGGTGGCCGCGGATCCCCTGCCGATCCATGCGGCCGCGGCTGATGTGGAGCCGGGTTTTAAGAGCGATCCATGTGCAACATTGTAACAAAGAACAGGCGGAATGGCGGCCGGAATGGAAACATTGTATCGATCCTGCTGCTACCTTCCAGAATGTAACCAGCGGCAGATTGCAACCTGTTCCCATCGGAGATTACCCCTCTGTCCGCAACCCTCCTCCCCCTGGTACCCCTCTCTCACCCTTCCCCACACCCCCTTCACCTTCACTCCTACCGCAAAAAACATACCTCCCTCCGGGGCCCGAAGCCGGGCCGCGCCGCGCCGGGTTTTGCCCCCCGCTTTTTTCTCTCTCTCTCTCTCTTTGATGATTTTGCAGGTTCGAGTCTGCTGAATCCTCACTCCGGGTTCCTGGCCGCCCCCAATTGCGCAGGAGCGGAAGCCTGACTTGCCTTTTTCTTGTTCGCCTCCCCCTCCCCTCCCCAAACCAAAGCTTTATCGCGCTGCCTGCCGGGGTTTGTAGTCTTTCCGTGTGCACGCAGAGAGAAGTCCCGCGGAGAAGCGGACTACAACTCCCCTCATTCCCTCCTCCGGTTCGCTGCTGATCCGATTCTGGGATGGTTTCACAGCACACAAGCAGGCCCTATAACCCTGCTCTGCCAACTTATCCGCAGCAGCACTCCAAACCCGAATGTTGTCTCTCTCTGTAATTTGCTTTCTCTTCACACAATTCCCTTTTGAAAGCCACAGATGAATCTGCATCCATACAGGGAGCGCATACCAGATCGTAACCGCTGCATGTGGAAAACTGTTTGTCTTCCTGTCATTTTCCTTAACCTGGTATCTGGTTGGCCAACCTTCCACCAATTTGAACGGTTTTACCCTGTCTACTCTATCCAGTCCCTTCATGCTTTTGAACGCAGAGCAAATGCTTCCCAGTATACCCTCAGAACTGAAGTCTCTCATCCCTGTAACTCATAAATCGTTTCTGCACCCTTCACCAAAGGCTTCACATCTTTCCTAAAATGTGGCCTGGAATTGGGCACTACTCCAGTTGAGGCTGAACCGGTGTTTGAATTCATTATAACTTCTTTGCTTTTGCAGTCCGTTATTACTTCTAAAACCCAGGATCTGTCTTCATTTTATTGAATTGGCTTAGAGATGTTATTTACACACCTCTGGAGAAGGTGGGACCAGAACCTGAGCCCTTTGACTCCACTGCCTTTTCTCAACCTCCCTTGCTACCTTCAATAAATTGTGTACGTATTTATCATTTGGAGAGCTGCCTTGTACGTCGGGCATAGAAAAGCCTCTTGCTGCCCTGTACCAATCGATATATGTCTAGATAAAAGCGAAAAGAACTGTGGATGCTGTAAATCAGGAACAAAAACAGAAGTTGCTGGAAAAACTCAGCAGGTCTGGCAGCATCTGTGAACAAAAAATCAGAATTAACGTTTCGGGTCTGGTGATCCTTCCTCAGAGTCACCTTCTTCAGACCCTACCTCTGAGGAAGGGTCACTGGACCTGAAACGTTAACTCTGATTTTTTTTCTTCACAGATGCTGCCAGACCTGCTGAGATTTTCCAGCAAATTCTGTTTTTGTTCCTGACGTGTCTAGGTCTGGGGCTAGGCCAATTAAAAGGGCTGGTATTTCTCCCCTATAAAAGTTTGCCAACTTTAAGGCTTTATTTTGAAGCGGATGGGGAGTTCAGAGATTTAGATCCAGGACTGCTATAGGAACAATGTTGTTAAAAAAGTGTAGAAAAGATTTACAATGATGTTACCAAGACTGGAAGGTTTGAGTAATAAGGAGAGGCTGAGGCTATTCTCCCTGGAGTGTCGGAGGCTAAGGATGACCTTATAGAGGTTTATAAAATCATGAGGGTAACGGATATGGTGAATAGCCATGGTCTTTTCCCAGGTTAGGGGAGTCCTAAAGTAGAGGCCATAGTTTTAAGGTGACAGGGAAAAGATTTAAAAGGAACCTTTTTCAGGCAGAGGGCATGTATCAAATGAGCTGCCTGTGGAAGTGGGGCAGCTGTGTGTTCCTACTGTATCCCAAACACAAAATAAAACTAAAAGAAAATACCATATATAATTGTGTAAACAGTCAATTAAGTAACTTTTGCCATAAGGAGAAGCCCTGAATTTTCCATATTCCTCATGTAAAAGTATTTCAGGGATCAAATATATTATGATTGATAATTACTTACTGGTATTTACTACAATTTATTATTTTGAAGGGAAGCTTTAGATTTTCACTCCACCAACTCTAGCAACAATCCCAATCAATTGACAAGACTAACCCATAGCACATGATCTATCATGATGGCTTCAAGGAAGAATAACAAGTAGTGGCTCAAATTAAAATAAAAGCTACAGCTGAGAAGACTAATAATTATGCAGCAGCAAGAAAGTCTAATGTTTCCCAGAAAGTGACTGGAGAAAGATATTTAATGAACTAGAAAGTATGAAGAAGAATAAAGACAACAGCGATGGAGACCAAAGCAAGTGCCCTCACTGAGAGAACACAAAGCAGTGGAATGGGTTAATGAGCGGGCAAAATTATCACATTATCACCTGTGGAATCATCCAAAATTATGCCCTCAGAGCAGTAAAGAAAAGCAGCATTCTGGAATTTGATGTATGTGCTATGTGGTGCACACGATTACCAAAAAGACAGAAAACAAATGTTTCCCAGTTCTGAAGGAGTCAAACCAGACTGGAAAACTCTTGTTTCTCTCCCCACAGATGCTGCCAGACCTACTGAGTTTCTCCAGCATTCTCTGAGTTTACTAACAAATTTCACATCTACCACCTGAATCTGATGATAAAATATCCACTGTTTTGTCCTGGAACATTTGCAGAAACAAGAAAATCGATTAGACTGCATTGGAAGTATGAGTTAAACATCGATGAAAATCGACATGCCAGTGACAAAAGTTTGGTGAGAACAAAATGGCCTGGTAAATTCGGCTGGCCACGAGGAGATACATTTCACAATGGTTCCTGGTGGATGGTCCAAGTGAAAGCCAATGGTGATATTCAAACACAAACACATTCCCAAAAAGAAATTTCAGAAAGGTATTGATATGCATGTTCACAAGAAAGCCTATCAGAAGGCAATTGCAAGAAATGGATCAAAGATTCTGAGGCCAAGAATACTGCACAGAGAAAAGTGCCTGATCATCTGGGACAGGGTCTATACTCACCTTGTTGACAGATATTATGAGATCAACCAAATCCAGTTTGGCAATTATTCCCAGTGATCTTATGAGTGTTGGTCAGCCCTTGGGTTTGTGTATACATAAATCTCTCAATGTTCATATTAGAAAGATTTGGAACAGTCTCATATTGCAATGCGGAGAAACATTCATTTCAGTAAATTTCTGTGAGCACCTTTTAACAATATTGTGTCAATGACTCATGGATATGTGGAATGAACTTGACTCCAATATTGTCATTTCAAAAATGTGGCTTATCGAATGTGCCCAATGTTACCTATGAACTGATGATGCCCAAGATATGTTACCTTCAATGATGGTGATGGTGAAGACCAGGAAGATTATGTTGATTTAATACAATCAGGCCATTGGGATGATTGCTGGTTGGCTCAGATGATGATCGGAGTAATTTTTAAGGATTCAATGTGAAGTATCATTATCTTATTAAGGTATATGTTTTTACTGTGTTGGATTAAATGTGTAAAGTTAATCATGCTGTCTTTTAAAACCAAACAGCCCCAGTTTCTTTGGTGTTCTGTCTTTAGTTTAGCCCTCTGACTAATTAATACACTTGGCTGCTGGCCTTGTACCTTGACCAAAGCTGGATATAGTATGCGAAATACAATCTGACCAAAATATGGCACAGATTCAGTGAAAGATCCCACAATTCACACAAATTAGGATTCTAATTTGGGATTTTTTTGTTGCACAGTGTTTTGGGATAGTAATTGCCACATCTACAAATAACTTCTAAAATTTCTCTCAATCATATCTCTGGCTGTTTTTAATATTAATTTACATGGTAAGCATTATTTTTCTTCTAATATTCAGCACTTCCCATTTCACTCTATTAAGTTTTATTTCCCACTGTTCTCATCTTTCTCATTTCCTGAAAACAGTCAATGATGGAAGGTTATCGTGATCCATTAAGCTGACCTCTGTCAAGTGCAACTTGACCAGGAAAAACCCCTCTCACTCAATCAATTTCCTATTATTGCAGGGCAAAGAGCCCTTATTTTCAATGATTATTTACTTCTTGCTTTACCATATACCTCTGTTATTGAATGTGAAGAGTTTGTGAATTGAAGACTGCGAAGACTTAGTTTTCTGCATGTCAACTTTCCAGACCACTTGCATTTTACAACTGTGAATTCGAGAGTCACCCAACATACTTAAGAGTTTTTAAAATTAATTCATGGGACATGATTGATGATTGATTAGGTCAGTTTTTGTTGTCCATCCCTAGTTACCTTTGGGAGGGTGATGGTGAGCTGTCACCTTGCATCGTTACAGTGCAACCATAAGTAAACATCACCTGTTCTGACTTAATGATGCAGGGAAGGTCATCGATTAAACAAATGTAGGACACAGCCCTAAGGAACTTAAAACCCCTCAGGATCTCCAGCAGAGATGTCCTAAAATTGACAGGATTGATCTCCAATCCTGCATTGGGAATACTGCAGATAGGCCAGTGCAGAATTAGCTTTATTGTCACATGTACTCAAATAAGTACAGTGAAAAGTCGTCACATTACAGCGCCATTTTAGGTACAAGGGTACCCTAGGTACAGATTATTAAGAAAAAATTCTTAGGGGAAAAAAAAGGAGAAAAATAAAGAAGTCTGGCATTACTGCTCACAGGAATAAATTAGAAAAATAAAGAACAAAAAAGTTCAAAATAACAGTCTTTCCAGCCCAGTCCTACCATCACCTAGCTTCCAATAACTGATAGAGAGACCTCCACCACTTCACTGCTGTCTGTGCTGGACCCACCAGTGTAGGAGGCACCATCTCTTTGCTGCTGAACCCACAGTCACTCCATCAACCAGGAGTCCCCAGCTCTGCTGCTGCCTCTATGATGCCAGGAGACCCCACTCTGGGCCCACGGCAACCAGGAGTCCCCAGCTCTGCTGCTGCCTCTATGATGCCAGGAGACCCCACTCTGGGCCCACGGCAACCAGGAGTTCCTGACCGCTGCTAGGCTGCAGATGCCACCTTGAAGAGTCAGTTGCAGCTGGTGCCACCACCCCCAATCACCGGTGCAGCGTTGCTGCCTCTGGCCTCGAACACCAGGAGGACATCCTGCTACCTCTGCCGCCTCCAACTGCCTGGAGACGCCCTGTCCGCCATTCCACACGCAGCCCATTCTTGCTGCTGTGCCGATGCTGCCAACTAACACCACAGCTATG